TTTGATTCTGTTTAATTCTCAAAATAGCCCTCTAGAATATTATTTCCATTTTAGAAAGACGGAATTGAGGCTCAGAGGTGGCAAGTGACTTATCTGAGTTTATTTCATTGTAAATGGCACTTCCAGGCCCTTAACTCAGAATTTCTGCCTTTCTGCCGCCTTCCTCTGATCACAGCTGCCTCAGCTTGTTGTTAATTTTATATTTAGCTGTATTAATTGGTGCTGGGAGTCTTCATAATGCTAGATGTAAATTCTTTGTTTTGTTCAATGTTCTTATTTTATGGTTGGCAAACAAAAACAACAAAACAACACTGACAACAACAGAAACAACCAACTGAAGCTGCAGCTTTTAATCTTTCTAAAGACAATAGGCTAAAGTGAGGTCCTCATAATAAGGTGCTAGTCACCAGGAAGGAAGCCAGGGAAAATCTCCTCCCAGGGGGTAATTGATCCCTATTGGCCTAACACTGCATGTAGCACTGAGTTAGGAGGCTCCATGGAGAAATGTCTGCTTATTTTCCTCTGCTGTCAGAACAAAGTTCACAAACACCTTTGTTTTCCCCACACCCTTGGTGTTAGCTAGTTAGGGCCCCTATTTATGTCCAGGGGACAGGACCTGGACATTCGTAAAAGGACTGAATATAGATGGATAGCTAAGAAAAAACCAAATGTTAAGATTACCATTATTTACAGCCCAACGATTTAGTATTCTAAAAAAAAAAAATCCAAGAACAACAAAATAATCCCTAAGAAGGACAAGAATTTTAAAACATGCAGTTTAGAAAACCAAATTAATCAGGCCTAGGGCTCAAGTAAAAGAAAATCTGAGATATGAAGTCTGGAACACTGGGTCTACATTCTGCTCCTGACTCTGTGCCCTTGGGGAAGACACTGAATAGATGGCATACTATTAATCAGAACCTTAACCAGCTCTATTCTCACTATCCCAGTAAAATGATGTTAAAAATTAGACCTCGTGACATGAGAGAAGAGGGGAAATTAATTACAGATTACAAAGAAAGTGTGGGATCTAACTTTAGGGTGAGGTGTTTTATTGAACCTTTAGGGTTGGTCATAACACCTGCCATATAGCAGGTATTCAATAAATGTGGTTAGACTGATGGAAAGGCAGGCTTTCCCAGTGATGGTAAAGGACCTGGGGCAAAAGAGACCTGTGGTTGAGTCCTGATCCCCACACATTAACACAGTGACTAGACAAAGTTATAAGCCTCCATTTCTTCCTATGGCAAATGGAGATAATACCTCATAGGGTTATGAGGATTAAATAAGAAAATGCTTAGCTCAGTGCCTAGTACATAGGAAGCACACTGTGAATATTAGTTATTATTATTACTAATACTGTGATCATATCTTCCATCCAAAGACTTCTCTGAGGAGCAGGGAGGATCCAAAGAAGCCTGCGGGTGGGAAATCTGTTATCCTTCTAGGACTTTAGACTTCTGCGGAACTGCACCTCCTCCCTCTCCTAGTTCTTAAGAACAGAAACTCTACAGGGGCCTGCGGTGAGGTAGCCGGTGGGAAGATGAGGTGCAGAAGTAAGGTGGGCCCTGCGAGCCTCAATTTCAGCCTCTTCTGCGCTGAGACCCAGGCGGATCTTGCTTGGCCTGTATGCGTTACTGGGGGAAATGGACGTGGGCCTGACTGCCACAGGTGCGAGGGCGCTGCCCCCAGGCCGACGACCCAGCGGGGCCCCTGTAGCTGTCATTACTCCTTCTGCAGGCAGGTAGGAGAAGCGGTGGCCAAAGTGGGAGTCGACCGCTCAGCGCAATCTGAGTGTTGGCCGGGAAAGTCTAGGCTCTTTCTAAATCTCGCCGCCAGACCTGGAGACCCATTCGCATGTATTTAAGGCGTTTGCACACAGAACGTTATCACAGAATGCAGCCACCTTTCTTAAGATCCGGGAAACCAGAGGTCTCTCCAGCAACTCAGGGTAGAGGAATTTCTCCTATCTCCATGTGACATCTTCTGATTTAGAAGAACTAATGTTAGATTTCTCTTGGGCCTTTCCACCTACAGCGATAGTCTTCCCTTTGTTTAGCTAAAATTGAGGCAGGCAGGACAATATGATTGGGGGCATGAGCCTATTAGCGTGTAAACGTATTTACATGAAGTGTGCCTCTAGGGAGCCATTCAGAACCGACCTCTCAACCACAGAAATAGATGAGATTTTGAGAACATTGAGAAGCTGCCTTTTGCAAAGTAAATTTACCATGGTCCTTGACGAAAGGGGGTCGGGGGCGGGGAGAAGTCCAGCCGAGAGAGGAGCTCATTCCATGCTATATTTTTGCAGTTGAAAAGCTGCCTAATCATCGCTAACCGCTTCCCGCATAAGAGTTCTGGGAAGACTCCAGAAAAAAGGCAAATGAAGACTTTCAACTGCCTCCTTCGGGCTGCTGCTTCCGGAAGCCGAAACCCTAGCACGCAGAGCAGCAGGAGAGGGCTGCTTTCAGGCAGTTCCACTGAGCAAAACAAATTCATTTAATGGCATAACGTTCTGGCTTAAAATTTGGAATTTATCAGAGGCAAAAATATCGTTCAAGAAACTATGGACACTCCGCGCCCTCATTCATTTCCATGGCAGCAGGGTATCTGCATCTTGAGCAACCAATAGAGATTCATGCCTCGTATCGCTCTCACCTCCTTTCTTTTTAAAGTAAAGCCCTTTGCAAAGAAGGCGGCCAGAAAATGGACTCCACCGGGGGAAAAAGAAAAATGAAACGCAAACCACCTTGGCACTGCTTGCGTGCTTGAGAGTCTATAGGTAATTCTTTTATATATATAAAATGTATACATATGTATATATTTTATACACAAAATTATATATATATATATAGTTGTATGGAGCCGTGAAGCAATTATCCATGCTTTTGTCTCCCTCAAGTTCCCCAGATGGAGGCAGTCATAATCATTATAAGCCGCCTTAGTGACCACCAGGGACGGAAACCGTTAATTACCACGTCTCTGATCTCCACACAAGAGGCTTTGGTATTGGCGCTTTCCAAGAACTGGACCAGAGGAGCCAGTTCAGAGTCTGACGTCGGTTCGGCATTTAACGTACACACCGAGGTCTGGATCAGACTCCCCCGATTTTAGCGAAGTGTGTTAACTGCTGTACTGCTAGAGGCTAGCAAGCTCCCTGTGCGCAGCTGATTAGTTTCAGCAACTCGCCACCTGGGCGCTTTTCTTTAAATTTGGGGAGTAAACTGCGAAAACAAACAAAAAAATCTCCACGTCCACTGGCTCTCTCCCCTTCCCCAACTTCCTCTCTCGACTCGTTTGTGGGAGTTTTCTCCTCTTTGCTGGAACTATAATGCGATGCGCAATCGTTTGTGAATGAACAAAAGTCATCTGCAAGCAGGGCGACGGGGACAGATCGCTGACGGCAGATTAAGGGTGGGAGCAAAGGTCCGGCCTCCAAGGATAATGGGGAGCCGTCTTCCCCCACGCCTGGTCTCTATGGCCTCCTTCGTCTTCCAGGTAAGATGAATGTTCCTTCATCCATCATCCGCAGAGTACCCTCCCTCAGGCGTGTGTAGAATCTGCTGATGAAACCTATTAGCCCCTTCTGGGCAGCTTTGTGGAGCCAACCGACGCTCTTCATTGTGGTCTTTGTCTGCAGAATTTAAGCATTTACATAATGCATTAGCACGGAACTCAGCACCGGGTGGGGACACCGCGTGCCGAGCCTGGCGGGGCTAACGCTTCAGCGGCTCCCTCACCCGGCAGCGCCCTAGGACCACCCTCGAGGATTCACTGGAGTTGGCTGCAGGCGCGCGGGCAAAGAACTTAGCATCTCATCCAAGTACTTCGCCTTCCTTGGCCATCTCCGGGATGTTATGCTTAAAAACATAAAAATAAAAATAAAAATAAAAATAAAGGGAGGGGGGCAAAGTTTCGGTGGGTGAACTGAAGCTGGGTCCATGTGACCCTGAAGCCGGAGAAATAAACTTAACAGGAATCTTGCTTTCCTGGCGGACGTTGGACCTCGCCGTTTTTCATGCGGACGGTTGGAAGCTTCGTGCTCAACGGCCACAGGTGCCTAGGAGCGCAGAGAGGCCTCGGGTTCGAATCGCCGGCGGGCAGGGCCTGGACTCGCGGGTAGCAACCCCCGCCCCCCTCCCCCACGCGCACCGGCTGAGAGCATGGGGGATTTACGGCATTTGAAAAAAGAGGGGCTGGGCGCGATGGCTCACGCCTGTAATCCCAGCATTTTGGGAGGCCAAGACGGGTGGATCACTTGAAGTCAGGAGTTTGAGACCAGCCTGGCCAACATGGTGAAACCCCGTGTCTACTAAAAATACAAAAATTAGCCAGGCGTGGTGCCTGTAATCTCAGCTACTTGGGAGACTGAGGCACGAGAATCGCTTGAACCTGGGAGGCTGAGGTTGCAGTGAGCCCAGATCGCGCCACCGCACTCCTGCTCTGGGTGATAGCGCAAGGCACCGTCTCAAAACAAAACAAAACAAAACAAAACAAAACAAAACAAAAGAAAAGATTCGGTCAGGAAAGAATCCGCAGGCATTCGAGGCGCTCACACTTTGCAAAGTAAATTCAATCTCTTTATTAAGCCGAAGTCCCAGATATCCATCCTTTCAGAGGGAGGTGGTCCAACTCAGAAATCTCGCCCAAGAGGATTTTCCACCGAATACGACCCGGAAGTGCCAGGAACTCGCCCAGTAGCGACAGGTGCAGGACCTTTCGTCCCGCCACACCTTGGGACTCTACCTCTCTAAATAGAGCGCTTAAAAGCCGGTAGCGCAGCCGGGATCCGGCGTCGGGAAAGAATCACCGAGCAGAACCCTGGAGCTAGAAGGCGGCCCGCCCCCCTTCCAAAGAAACCGGGATCCCGCGCCCTCCCCGCCGCGAGCGCCGCGCGCAGGCGGCGTCCAATCAGTGAGCTTTCCGGGTCTGTGACGGCCTTCGGCTCTGCCCCCTCGACGGCCATAAAAAGTCACAGCAAAGCCTGCACCTCCGAGCACCGCGCGCGGTCCTGCCCCCGGCACTGCCCACAGGGGCGCTTCTTCTCCGGCTGCTTGTAGCACCGGTCTCACTGTCCCCGCCGTCAGCCACCAGTTCCTTATCAGTCTCATTCCCCATTGTGGCTTTACTGAGCCCGTCGCCAGGCCTCGCTGTCTTCTTTGCCTTCCTCTCTCCTCCTCAGCGGCCGTACTTTGCGCCGTACCTCACCTGGCCTGCAGGTGAGCAGTAGCGCAGCGCCCCTGTCCGGCGAGCTTACCTTGCCCAGCCCGGCCCTTGCCGGAGTGGCACCGGCACCTCTCCAAGACTCCCTCTTCCCAGCAGGATGAAGAACCCCATGCTGGAGGTGGTGTCTCTACTACTGGAGAAGCTGCTCCTTATCTCCAACTTCACGCTCTTCAGTTCGGGCGCCACGGGCGAAGACAAAGGGAGGAACAGTTTTTATGAAACCAGCTCCTTCCACCGAGGCGACGTGCTGGAGGTGCCCCGGACCCACCTGACCCACTATGGCATCTACCTAGGGGACAACCGTGTTGCCCACATGATGCCTGACATCCTGTTGGCTCTGACGGACGACATGGGGCGTACGCAGAAGGTGGTCTCCAATAAGCGTCTCATCCTGGGCGTCATTGTCAGAGTGGCCAGCATTCGCGTGGACACAGTGGAGGACTTCGCCTACGGAGCTAACATCCTGGTCAATCACCTGGACGAGTCCCTCCAGAAGAAGGCACTGCTCAACGAAGAGGTGGCGCGGAGGGCTGAGAAGCTGCTGGGCTTTACCCCCTACAGCCTGCTGTGGAACAACTGCGAGCACTTCGTGACCTACTGCAGATATGGCACCCCGATCAGTCCCCAGTCCGACAAGGTATGACGTGTGACTCCCAGGGAAGTGGGCTCCGCGGGATGCCCCCTCCCATCCCTGACCTTTTCTCTTTCCTGCGAGTAGGGATCTAATTCCTGGACACCTCCACCACCACTTCCATACCATTCTTCTTTCTTTTTTTTGAGACGGAGTCTCGCTCTGTCGCCCAGGCTGGAGTACAGTGGCGCGATCTCGGCTCACTGCAAGCTCCGCCTCCCGGGTTCACGCCATTCTCCTGCCTCAGTCTCCCGAGTAGCTGGGACTACAGGCGCCCGCCACCACGCCCGGCTAATTTTTGTATTTTTAGTAGAGACGGGGTTTCACTGTGTTAGCCCAGGATGGTCTAGATCTCCTGACCTCGTGATTCGCCCGTCTCGGCCCCTCAAAGTGCTGTGATTACAGGCGTGAGCCACCGCGCCCGGTCTTCCACACCATTCTTAAAGTTCTAGATTAAGTAAGGAAAGTTCTAGTGTTCCTAAGGTAGGCTAAGTAAATAAACAAATGGCAACATGCCTTGCAGGATCTCTCGAAATGCACAGAGAAAGGGTGTGGCAATGCAGGACCGCTTCCAGAGATTCCAGAGCTGCCCAGTATTGCTGCAGAAGTCATCAGGTGTCCACCCACCATGTAGTTCAAATGACAAAGGGCAAGTGACTGGGGGCGGGGTATACAAGAAATCAGTCACCGCTGCTTGCAACTTTAACCAAGAATTTCACTTGAAAGGAAGCGGTCCAGAGTTTATATTTAATCCATAACACTATAAAAACAAAGTGAGTGACTTTAAAATAAGGAACCGCGCAGTTTTCTCCCTTTGAAAGCTGCATAGAGGGATTTTTCATTGTTTGCTATAAGCTATCAAAATTCCCAGTAATATGGGCTCCCTGGTAAGTCCCTTATTCTTGTGTTGGTGCTTCAGAGTTGCATTTTCCTTGGTATGCTGAATTCTTTCTGGGTTGGCTTTAATCCCCATCTAGACTTCCTCATTGTTAAGCATCCTTTACCCATTAGCCCTAAAGGTAGATTAGAGTGTTTATGGATTCCCCAGAGATCAATACAATTAGTTTTCAAGAAGAAATGTTAAACATTGGAAGGTAATTTTTATGAGTATTTTGAAAAACAGTATTTTTTTTTCAAAAAAAACCCAGAATTTAAGATTATTAAATTAGCCACAAATCCAAAGGGAAAAATGGATTTTTATTTCCTTTTAAAACCTCTTAATTTTTAAAAATAGTTAAGATTTTAAGCCTGAAACTTTATTTACAATTGGAAACTTTCTCAGCCTTCATTGTACTTGTTAAAGAAGTCATTGTTAATGTTCAGTCTTTATAATGGAAACCTGGGCAGTAACATAATGAGCTTTAGTGTTACTCTTCATGTTTAGATATTTTTGGGACCAGAAAAATCTGAGTCAGTTTTTTTCATGTAACCAGTTCTTAATTGCTCCACATCTTGGTTAATTTTTTTGACCCATTTGGGAACATCTTTCTCTATCCTCTGTGGGAGAACATGGAAGTATTTTGCTTTTATAGATCAGTGTATGAAACTCCTTGTAGATTTTATAGAGCCACAAAAGACTCAATCTAGGAATTCTTTTCCAAGTAAAATAAAAATACAGTTAGAGCACTGTGCAGCGATTCAAGAATCACAGCTCTAGTCCAGGCCTGTTTAGAAATGAACTCCACCACATTTACAAACACTGGCTCCCAAAGTGTACAAAAGGAAACATGTCAGATTTACTTAGGAACCAAGCAAATCATTTCTCTAAGGAAAAACAGTATTTCTATCAGGTAATTAGGAGTTACCCATTCATGGAACACATATAGTGCTGCATTATATATTTCTACAGAAAAACAGTAACTAAGGCTTTTGTAAGGTAGTAAAATATTTAATCTGCATAAATAACTAGTTGGAGTAGTTTTTCATCTTTGGAAGCTTTGTCAGGGTCTACAGAAGTAGAGAAGTGTTTTAATTGCTGTTGCTGCATAGCACCTCTTGTGAAACTGAGTTTTGTCTTCACTTTGAATGGTCTAACAAACAATTTGGCCACAGAGTAGATTTCCCGGGAGAAAAAAAAGTTTTCATCCCAAATTTCCTAATTCTACAAACTGTTTTTGAACATGCACTGAGAGAAGTAGGTCATTAATACTGAAGGAAGGACTGGTTTCTACCTTTTGGAAACATAAGAAATTATTTGATTCTGGGTCTGATTGTTGAGTTCTCCATATATGCAACTAATATTAACATGAGAGTTACAAAGTTGCCTCTTTCTTAAATTTGAGTTAATAAAAACTCTCAAGAACACACTACCCCTAAGGAAAACACTGCAGTTAGTTTGCAAATGAATGAACTGGAAAAGAACATTTACTCCTTTGTGGTAATACTCTTTTTTTACAAGTTTATAAGTCATAAAATTATGGGATTTTTATAACGCTGTTGACAATCAGTATTTTGTAAACTAGAAATTCCTTTGGTTAATAACTATTACTATTCCTTATGCTTTTACTACTATGATTTTTTCACTTTGTTAATACTGCTCTTTCATTGCCAAAAATGATGGCAAATGCCCCTTTTAATTTGTGTGGATTGAGTGCTCACAAAAGTGTTCCTATAGACTTATTGACCCCTTCTAGAAATTTCCTACTGTTGAGCACCACTAAAGATGCCTGCTGGTCTGCTGACCAAGTGAACAGGGCATTAGGCATTAGACATGCGATGCTTCTTGAGAAAAATCTGCGTTTGTGGGAAATACAGTCCAAAATGATTCCGATTGACTTAATTATAAATTATCAAGGAAAAAAAATAAGGATAACTGTATGTACAACTTAGTCATTTACCAAAATATATGTCTTCCATCAACCTCCTTTTCTCTCTGTCCTGAAAAACTTCAATTTGATCTTCACCACCTTAAAATAGTATACTTCTCAATACCTTGCTAGTTTATTAAAGAGAGACAAATAGTATGATAGAAAAATAGGCCAACATCTAGATAAGAGTTTCACACTTGTTTAGGTATTATGTAAAAGTATGGATAGAGATAACCATATTGTCAGGATGGTGTATTAAAACGTATTGAACTTGTTCATTTTATTCCTTAAGAATTTGGAAACCTAGCTGCCCAGTCCCATGTAAGCCACTGTAGAAAACCCTAAAAGCACGTACAATGCCATGTCTAGAAAAAGAGCTTAAAATTAGTATGAATAGCAAAACCCATATAGAAATGACAATCACTGCATTCTGGCATCGATGGCAATATGGTAGAGATAATTGTCAACAAAGACAGTAGTAATAATAATCATTGTAATACCTTACATTTATACAGCACGTAGAAGAATACAGAGTACTTGTGCATGAAACATCTCAGTTAATCCTCAGAACAATTTGAGTGTTCCCATGGAGGAGCAGAAGAGAGTAGCCTGGACAGGTTAAATGACTACTTGAGGTGACACAGCCAATAAGAGCTGGAGCCAGGACTCAGACATAGGCCATCACTTTCGAGTAACTTTATTTTTCTAAGGAAAACATTATACATATTAGAAGGATGCATTCCTCAGGGGTAGGGACAATATTTGTCTTTTTTTCCAGCAGCCGGTTATGTGTCATATAATCGATTCTGAATTTAGCATATTTAGTCAGGAAATGGAATTTGACAATAAAATCAGACTTTCTATACCTGTAGATTTTGAGATTTATAAAAAAGTTATTATTGGTATCATTAGATTTTAGAATGGCAAATTGGAGGAATTGAATCTACCTTTAATTGGCCAAATTTTATTATTTTTACTCAAGATTAGAGATACCTCTTTGCTCATCTAATTTTAAAATATGCTATTGTTATTGATAAGCACTTTGTTGTTTTAAACCTTTAGTCCTGAACAACTATGTGGTTATACTTTCTATAGTTTCCTATAAATGCTGTATTTACATAGGCAACTGCCATTATTAACTTAATTGCCTAAGGGATCATTTCTACTACTATAGGATATAGAATCACAACTGGACTCTTAACGTTGTAAAATTTTTTGTAAGTCATAAGAGAATTTCTAATTCTTTTGGTAGACAGAAAATAGCTTCAAAAACTGATTTACTGTTTGATATATTCTTGGATTTAGCCACCTTTTCTAATTTTCCAAAATTTTATTTTCCAGTTTTGTGAGACTGTGAAGATAATTATTCGTGATCAGAGAAGTGTTCTTGCTTCAGCAGTCTTGGGATTGGCGTCTATAGTCTGTACGGGCCTGGTGTCATACACTACCCTTCCTGCAATTTTTATTCCATTCTTCCTATGGATGGCTGGCTAACTTCATACCCCCATGTCAGTGTGTGTATTCTGTATGTAAATATTTTTATATTTATAGAGCATCAATCAGTATAAGCATTATTGAGAAAAATGTGACCTGTAACACTGTGTTCTGGATAAAAATGTGATTAGGAATCACGCAGAGTGCTTACTGTGTAAGCCCAAGAACAAAGGCTTTCTAAATCTTCTCAGGCAGTTCAGATTTAAAGCACCATCCAAACCTTGGAAATATGACAGGTTGTGGTAGAATTCAGCAATATGAGAAAACCAGCCCCTAAGATCATAGCCACAGGCAATTAATTGTGGTTTTTTTCTCTTGTAATCCTTGTATTGTTAAGCAGAATTTGGAGATTGGAAGACTTACATTGAGACCAGTAACTTTACTGTAAATTTACTTTGTTTCATTGAAAAAACAAATTGGTAAACTTATATTAAACTGGAAGAACTTTCCTTATTCAAATGAAACCATGTTTGATGACTGGTCAAAAAATAAGCTCATAATCTATTTTTTTCATGTAGTATATAGGTCAAGAATGTTTTATTGTCATTACGTGAAACCAATATTGACAAATAGTACTTTAATGATATTGGCAAATAGTACTTTATGATAAAGTAAATGACCAGAATGATAAAGTAAATGACCAGAAAGTATAGAAATCTGTGTTTTCCTGTAAAAACAGCACCATAGTATCACTTGAATAATTGGATTTGGCTTTACTTACTAGGAAACCTGGAATTCATCATTTTTTTCCTTTTATGTGCCACTGTGGTTACTTTAAATCACTCTCAGAGGTAAATGGATATAGGATTGAAGTTATGTGGGTATTTGGCATGTGTGTGTGAAATAAATATGTAGATAGTCACATATACACAGACTGAGAGACAAATTGTTCTTGATTGCTTTATTATCATAATACTAGTGTGGTATAGAGTATCTATAGAGGTGAATGTAAAAGTAAGTCCAATCTATTTTCTTATGTCCTTGAATTTGTAGTGTTAACTTGTATATATGTTATTGGATGGGCTGTCTTTTAAAGCATTTACTAATGTACTGTGAAATTTTTAAAAGCCTTCAGATTTGTTTCCTAGTCACTTTTCTCCATATCATTTTGAATTATAGTTTATATCCTTAAAAGAAGGATGCCACAGCAGTATGTAAAATCCAAACAAGTAGAACCCAAACAAATAAAATTATTTAAAATAATTTTAAAGTGGCTTAGTACTGCCAGTCATGTAAATTGATTTTGCTGAGGGTCTTATAAGAATTGAGATATAGCAATGGTAAAACAAGTATTCAAGCACTTTTACAAAATGACCAAATTCTTAAAATGAAGCCACAGCTAGACTTGCATTTCTTAACTGTCTAGAATCACAAAATAACAATTCAATCATATTATGAGTGAATATGGGGAGGGCGGGGCCAGTCAATGATAATCTGAACAAATTTTAAGAACAGGATTTTAGATTAAATAATGTTTTATCATTACTAATTTGCCCACAACAAACTTAGTGTTTAATTTTTCAAATTAAATATTAACTTATTTAAGTCTTATAAATAATTAAAACATTAAATGGCAACACCACAGAATATAGGTGTTCTCTGGACCTATTCCAACCACTTAAAATTATCTTAAGTATGCATATATAAAAGCAACAACTATGAGAACTACTGTCTTAGTGGTTTTTCACTTACTATGTATTACCCTTGTAGGAATAGTTTAAGTAAATTCATTTCTTAAAAAGACAGTGTCCTCAAATAATTAATTTTTTTGCAAACTTTAGTTATTACAGGCAGCAAAAACCACTGTCTGAAATTAAATCTGTGTTCAAAGACCCCTCATTAAAAGCTAAGGACATTCTTAAGATTGGAATTGAAATAATTAGTCTTGACTTACTTCATTAAAGCAAGATTCAATTCCTTGTTCATTTGAGTGTTCATTATATGCCAGGCATTGACCAGTTGCAATTTTATGATCCAGAATTAATATTATTATTTGTAAACTAGCTATAATTGAGTATGTACAGTGCTGTGGGAACAGAGGGGAAGAAGCAATTAAATCTGCCAGAAGGGTAAGAGAAATCTATATGCAGGAGGCAATGCTAGCATTAAGCCAAGAAATAGTGTGAGGTGATCTTATCACACTGATGTGTTCAACTGTTTATGGGAAAAGGAAACTAGGATGGTTTTATTTGTGAAATGTTCTACAACACTAGAACTGTTGAACTTCTTGGGAGAAAAGGAGAGTCTTTGTTTTGTTGTGCTGAGTTTGATTAGTTCTTAACAAAGTAGAAAGAAAAGCACATCTTCCTGATCACAGTTATAAAAGAAACCCTGAGGCCAGGCGCGGTGGCTTACACCTGTAATCCCAGCACTTTGGGAGGCTGAGGTGGGCGGATCATGAGGTCAGGAGATCGAGACTATCCTGGCTAACACGGTGAATCCCTATCTGTACTAAAAATACAAAAAATTAGCCGGGTGTGGTGGCAGGTGCCTGTAGTCCCAGCTACTCTGAAGGCTGAGGCAGGAGAATGGCGTGAACCCAGGAGGCGGAGCTTGCAGTGAGTGGAGATCACACCACAGCATTCCAGCCTGGGGGACAAGGCGAGACTCCATCTCAAAAAAAAAAAAAAAACCAAAAAAACCCCTGAGCCATTAATGTGTCTCCTAACTTGAGGAAGTTCACGAATTTCTCTGGGCTTCATCAGTTAAGATTCATCCTTATGCTTCTGCAAGTCTCTTGTATTTATGTATTTCTATCCTGATTTCTGAATTGATAACCTAGTAGTGTTGGATGAAGTTTTTTGTGCTTATTTTATTCTTTGTCATAGATTAAGGCAGAATAGGACTAACTGGGGCTAAGATGAATTAATGTAAGTGTCAGATACTAGGCAGGTGTTAGGGATGAAATGATGAATGAGGCATGGACCTGTTCCTCAGAGTTTATGGCCTAGTAGACATAATTGTATTAAGACTTTCTGCAGTTGACATTTGCATAAAGCTGACTGACTGAAGGAACAGGAAGTGCGACGGTTGACTTTAACAGATATGACCAAATTTATACAAACCATGTACCAACACTTGAAAGATGGGTGGATATTTTCCAGGAAACAGATTTTGGGCAGGACATTCCATGCATTGGAAATAGCATGAGCAAATGCATGAACATTGCCTACAACATGCCTGGACATAGCTTTGAGGTACCCTATGAGTTGTTGACTTGAAAACATGGAACTGCACAGGGCATTCAGGCAAGTGCAAGTGGTTCAGGGGCCAGAGCAGAGCAAGAGTGATGAGTAAAGATGTCAGAAAAGGAGAGCAATGGTCTGGTACAAGTCTTGTGTAGAACAAGAAGTTTAGACTTTTGAACTGGCAATCAAGATTTGGGGTTCAGAAAGATAAATCCCAAAAGTATGGAGGACAAAGGGACTCATTTTAAAGGACTAGCTAAGATGCTGAATCTCTTAAAAAAAAATAAAAGGTTCTGTAATCGTGAGGGTAGAGAGAAAACTGAAGGAACAGTCAACAGACTTTAGCAAAATCCTTTTATTTGATTCATGCATAACTCTTGATGGAGTGTCAAGGAAGAATTATTCACTTTTCTTTCCTGCCAGAAAGTTGGTTCTTACAAAATAGATGAAATTGATGACTATGTGTATATTGGATACTCCTAATTTTAGCTCTGTTAGATATGTTTCTAAGGACAAGCAAGTATGTATAGATTTGTTGTTTAATTTTTTTTCAGTATATATATGTTTCTTGTTTTTCCATTTTTCTACTTCATACTGTTAATGTCAAATATCAAAAGTGTTTTCCAGCAATATCAAGTTATGGCAATGGCAAAAGTCCTTGTTGTAGATGAGAAGCATATAAGAAATGGTTGCTAATCTTACTTTCGTATGATCTACTTAGAGTTTTAACCAACCTAGATCTGTCAGCTAAGCTAATTTTATATTTGGTATACATGTATGTCAAATAAAGTCAGTTTTACATACTATCCTCTCTTGTCTTTGAATTTTAAATACATAAATGTAGATCACAAACTTTTTCTTTCAGCATGGTAGCCTGAAGAATTTTGCCTCTCCAAGCTTCCTTTACAGATTACCAAACATAGTTCTATGCATTTGAATTTAAAACTTTATGTGGATCAGTCTTCAGACTGATAAGATCTATGTTATCCATATCTTGAAGCCTATCTTGATTGTGTAGGAATAGGTTCTGTGTAATGTTAAATAACATATCCCCTCTCCATTGCACAAAATTAAGTAACAATGACAACAAATAATTAGTCATAACACGAACTCTATACAGCTGACCCTTGGGCAAAACAAGTTTTGTTTGTTTGTTTGTTTTCGTTTTTGAGACAGGGTCTCTCTTTGTCTTATAGGCTGCAGTGCAGGGACACAATCCTAGCTCACTGTAACCTCAAACTCCTGATCTCAAGCGATCCTCCTGCCTTGGCCTCCGAAGTAGCTGGGACAACAGGTGCATGCCACAATGCCCAGCTAATTTTAAATTTTTTCACAGAGAGGGGGTCTTGCTATGTTGCCTGGGCTTATCTTGAACTCCTGGCTTTAATTGACCCTCCCACCTAAGCCTCCAAAAGCAGTGGGATTATAGGTGTGAGCCACCAGGCCCAGCAACAACATGGGTTTTAACTGGGTGGGTCCACTTACACGCAAATTTTTTCAACCAAATGTGGACAGAAAATAAAGTATTCCTAGGATCTGAAACCTGCTTATATAGGGAGGACCAACTTCTGTATATGTGGGTTCCAGTTCCTGCAGGGCTGACTGCCAGACTTGACTATGCGTGGATTTGGGTGTACATGGGGGTCCTGGGCCAATCCTCTGAAGATATCGAGGGAACACTGTAACCAGATTTATGGGTGAGGAGGGGATGGGATGTGAGTAGAAGCAAATTCCAGGGCCAGTCTTGAAATGCATTCATAGCAGTGCCAAGGACCATAGAGGTTACTGAGCTTAATGCTTAGCCATCCAATGACAGTTAAAGATGTGGAAAATCAGGCACTTAGGGGTTGAGGTGCTTCAGAGCAAGACCCAGAACTTTGCGCCAGATTTCATTCCATTATACCATATGGCTCCCTGAGGTCTCCCAGGGATTAGACAAACTTTTCTCCAATGAATGTATTTATTTCTTGCACACCTTCTATGTACTTTAAGCAGGATCATACAAGAATAAACTGGTTAGAATCTTAGTCCTGGAATTGCTCAGACTAATGTAAAAGAATGGCAAGATTTTAAAATAATGGTAAGCTTGTACAAGTGTCAGAAGAGCAGATATGAAACCCTTACCTGTCTGATGGGGACCAATGAAGGACAGGGGTGTCACGTCACAGAAGTCTTCATTGATGCCTTAACTGACCTGTAAAGAATATGAACACTTAAGGTGAAAAAGACCTCCTTTTTCCAGGTCTTTCAGGCACAGGGAGGAGCAACTATTACACAAAGGGATGGAGTCAGGAGAACCCATATTGCAGTTGGGTTACAACAGGGTGTTAAGAACAATCACTTGAGATTATATTGTTGCTTTGAGAGAAAAGTGCCAGTCCTGCCACAAAGAACTCACCATTCCTTTGGAGAAGAACAAATCTGACTCAGATGATGCTGGAGACAAGAGGCAAGTTCACAGAGGACTTTGCATTGTGAAAGTTTGGAGTGGAAAGAAAGCATTTCCCAAACTTTTCAACTGGGTCCGGTGAGTATTAGGAGCATGTGATTTTCTGAAACACAGAAAGAAGAGGTGTGTAGTTAGTTTGTGAGGAAAAGAAACACTTTTTTTTTTTTTTGATGGGGTTTCATTTAAGGTTACATGGAGAAGTGGAAAGTAAAGAAATCACTTCAGCACTCAGCAGATGAACGGTCACTGATCCCTGCTCAGCTCACAACTGTTCCTGTGTCCTCAAACAACTCTAGTGATATCTTCTTGAGTCTAGATTCTGGTGCTGCTGTTTGTTCCCATTTAGCTTATGATGGCTACTCGCATGGCGGCCCACCTACTGCCACTAACACACTGCACCACTGTTTCTGCTGCCTTGTGGTTTTCATTACACTTCTACCCTGTTACTTTTAGCTTCTGCTCCATTCTACCTGGTCGCTGTCTTTCATTTAAGATTGCAAAGGGATCTAACCAAGCTGACCAGTCACAATGCAATATTTGTGGTCACAGTAAACAGTTTCTAGCCTGGCTACTGCATGGACCATTGATTCCCCTGATGGCCTTTAGGTCTGGTACCTTCAGATCAGGTGACATCCTTGAGCTTATCACTTGTTGCCAAATTGCGTGACCATGTGTTCCCAGGCATGGAGATCTACTCTTATTCTTAAGGAGCTACTCATAACTGATGTCACTTGGAGGATAGCTGTCTGCTTTAATTTAAATGGGAGAGCTTTATCTGATGATCACTTTAGAGAGCTTATTCTGTAGCAACATACAGAATGGACTGGACAAGGAGATGTAAATTAAAGAATATGAAGTCTATTACCAAGATGCAGAAGGGAAATGATGAAGACTAGATGGAAGTCAGTGTCAGTGGAGATGGAGGGGAGAGAATGGATTGATTTGAGGGGTGTGAAAGATGGAGAGTGTTTCATATAGGGTCCAACCAAGGAAACAAAAACCATTCTAGGTACTGTCTGGTGGTGTGTGTGCATAAGAGATACCCTGGCTTCTCTTTTCCTTTCCTCTTACCCTCCAATCTCCTGTGAGGACTTCACATTGGGTAGCTAATGCAGAAACCAGCTAACAGGAGAGCCTGGAAAACAGCCTGCTGAGCAGGGCAAATAACGTATCTGAGGGACAATAGGCTGAGGCAGGCACCAGATTAGTGTGACTGATTGTACTGTGGCATCATGGCTAATTTAGGGGAATTTTTAAAAAATGAGGCTTGGGAGAAGTGTGCATCTGGATTTGGATCTATGATGTCTGAGTAGCCCAGGGTCTCACAGTTCTCACAGGTAGACAATAGGAAATCGGAGTCTCATAAGACAGAGTTCAGGGATAGGAATGTATTTAGGAGTTGTTATAACAGTGGTGGTTCAGGCCAAGGATGTGAGTGAGCTAGACCATCCTGGGGAAGTTTAGGAAGAACTTTTTTTTTTTTTTTTTTTAAGATAAGGATGGAAGACTAGGGTTACAAATAAGGGGAAGGAAGAATGATCCAGAATAGTTCCAGGAGAAGACTGCAAAATAATGGCACAAAAAGTTAGAGCAGACCTCATACAGGAGAGATTGTATGAGGAAGCCAAGGAGGACTGAGCTTTTGAAGGTATGGGTGTGAACAGCATCAAGATACAGAAATGAGATAAGAACTGATTAGTGCCCACATTGGATTTGGCAATAGGGAGACTGTGAGTGACGTTGATT